GTGCAGTACAGACCAACACAAAGAAAGGCACCTAGGAGCTCTGCCTTCTCTGCATCCTCTGTTACCAGCGTCTCCCCTGTAATTGGGTAATTTAGGAACAGACAAGACACACATCAATCATCCTTGGTTTTCCATTTGTTATTGATGTATTTAAAAAAGCCCTTGTTGACCTTGACATCTTTGCCCACATTTAATTTCAAGGTGATCCTTGGCCTTCTTTGTCTTATTTCTACTTACTCCAACAATCTCTCTATATTCATTCCAAGTGGCCTGAGCCTGCTTCTATCTCCTGTGTACTTCCTGCTTGCACTTGAGGAATGACAGGAATGAGGAATTGTTTATTCACTCAGGTATCTTGCCCTCTTTGCCCAATTTCTTGCTCACTAGGGTGCATTGTTGTTGAGCCTGGAGGACGTGATCCTTGAATATCACCTTGGATCCTTTTACCCTACAGGGCCTGTTCCCATGTGCTTCTTTCAAGAAGTTCCCTGGAGAGGCTAAAGTTAGCTCTCATGAGGTCTGTGGTTTTAATCTTGCTTGCTGCCCTGCTTTTTAAAACCTCACCTCCAACTGAACTCCACGATCTCATTCATAGGCAGTGCAGCCAAGGCTAACCCCAAGCTTCACATCTCCAACAAGGCCTTCTCTGATTGTTAGGATAAGGTTGAGCAGCATGCTGTTCTGTGTGGGATCTTCCACTGCCTGTGACAGCAGGTTTTCATCAATGCTTTCCAGGAACATCCTGCACTGTGTTGGTTCTCTAGCTGGTGGCAGGGAAGCTAAAGTCCCCTGCAAGAACCAGGATCTGTGACTTAGAGGTTGCTTTATGTTGCCTGTAGAAAGCCTCATCTACTTCTTCTCGTCCTGTTCAGGTGTCCTCTAGCAAACACCCACAGGAATGTCATCCTTACTTGTCTGTCCTTTTATTCTGACCCATAAGATCTGGACTCGCTCATCATCTACCCCAGACAAAGCTTGACACATTCCAAGTGTTGCCTCACACAGTCACTCCTCTGAGGCACCCAAGGGATACAAATGTCTCTCATGGCCATCTGTTTCCTTGTTCCACAGGCTGACTCTGTCTCTGGAAGAAAAGGACCTGAGCCTCAGAACCCTGGAAGAAAACAACCTGGCCCAGATCAATCAGGTGTCTCAGCTTCGTTCTGCCCTTAACCAGGCTGAGGAGCTCCACTCAGAGCATAAAAGAGAACTGCAGGAGCTCAACACCCAGGTAAGCTGTACACTCCATCCTCTTCTCCAGGGACACACAACACCACCTTTGGCATGCTAGTCCCAACCTCTTTCCCCTCCCAGCAGCATCCACTGCCACTGTGTTCTGCCCAGGGCTGCTGCTGCTGCACCCTCAGGCCAAGGCTGGATCTGGTGTCTCCTGCCAAAGTTTTCTCCCATTCTCTCCTGGGTCCCAGCAGGAAATCTGGGAGCAGAAGCAGCAGCACACTCCTCTGGAGCTTCTCTGTCCCTCTGTTAGCAGTGCTGTCCCTGACAGGATTGGTGCCTGTGCCAGGCACTGAGCAATGTGAGGACACAGACGTGGCTATGGCAGGCTGGGCAGGGCACTTCCACCACAGCCAGTTCAGCCCGTGTTCAGAGCTGCAGCCTCAAGGGTGCCCCTTGCCTCCCTTTCCCTGTTTTCTCTACCTTTGTCTCTACTGGATTCCTGGTTCTGCACCTTCTGTTTCCGGTGTATTTCTACCTGAAGTCATTTCTCCTTCAATGCTCTCCCTACTGCCCGCTCTGCTGCCTCAGGAGCAGCCCAGTCCCTGAGGCTCTCTGCATCCATCTTCCAGATCCAGGCCCTGCAGGATGCAGTGACAGAGAAGGCAGCTCAGCAGGACACTCAAGAGAAGGAGCTGCTGCAGGAGCTGGAAAAGTCCCGAGCAGGAGAACAGAGCTTGAGGGACGCTGTGCATGTGCTGCAGGTTGAGATGTCTGAGCTGCGTCTGAGGCTCCAGAGCTCTGAGGAAAGAGCAGAGGCCATGGCCACACACTGTGAGGCCATGGAGATGGAGCTGAGGATGGCTCAGGCTGACAACAACCAAATCAAGGCCTGCAATCAGGAGCTGCAGACACTGTTGGAGGAAACTCAGCAAGGGACAACTTCTCTCCCATCCATTGCCCCGTCCTGTTCCACCAGTGGGGATCTCTGATCCCATGCAGAGGTAAAGGCCTTTGCCCAGAGATGGCAGACAGGAAAAACAACCAGTATGAGATTTATCCATCCA